GTGAAAATCTGTATTGCTTCATTTTTATCTTTATCTCTTACTTTCTATATACTATATACAGGGAATGTGATACTATATCTGAAAACTAAAGTAACCCTATTAATTTTGCATGAAAAGCATATTTCAATTTTAAGCACACAACATGGGACTTTTACTTGTGTGACTTCTGTCCATCAGGAGTACAAGAGTAATCCTCTACAAATGGAGCTGATTTTACCAGAATAAACAGCAAAACCATGGCAGTGTCTGACACGGATCCACAGGGCTTTATGGTTCAACCCAGCCAAGAAGTTTGTTACAATCTCTTTCGGGTGTGCATCTGATTGTTCTGGGATTTTCCCATCAGCCCTGATATTGCCAAGAGGGACTGGGGCTAGATGATAACATGAGATAAGAAAACATTCTCAAACTTTATGAAAAAATATGGAACACTTTATAAATTTGCATGTCATATTTCTTAATAGAACTGTTAGGAAAATAATTCAAGCAGTACTAGTAACTAGGAATTTGCACTGCTAACCAGTTCTTAGGATCAGTGATTAAACCTGCTTGAAGAGGTCTAGGAGTATATTGACAATTCAGAGAAGAGTCAGTTTATGAGTTGGATATATGAAAGAAGGAAACACTTTGAAGACAAAATGTAGAATAAAACACAAAAGAGTGTTGCTCAAAGTTTTTCTGAGTCTCCATCCTAACCTTTCAGAGCTATCATTTACCATGTGCATCGTTATTGGCATCATTATGTAACAAAAACTGAGCTAACAGTCCAGGATTGGTGAACATCTGTAAATGCCATCTCAAGCCTCCTATATCAAACCCCTGGATACACAATATATATATATATATATATATATATATATATATATATATATATATATATATATATAATCATACATATATATATATAATCATACATATATATATATAATCATACATAAAATTTAAGAACCATGTTCTATAAAAAAAAAACTAAGCTCTGTGGCATGCTTTCATTTTTTCCGATAATTTAGTGCTACTGAATTATGGTTGGAGGTGTTGCCAGAATTGAGAAGAATTTGTGTCTAGGTTACAGGATGATCTACTCATAAGCAACACAGTAATGACCTGGAGACTAGTGTAAAGATTTAATAGGAGAATGGGGCTGGCGAGATGGCTTGTGAGAAATGTGCCTGCTTTGCAAACATAAAGACATAAGTTCAGATCCCCAGAATCCATGCTAAAGCTGTGTGAAGTAGCACACATCTGTAAAACCAGAATGTGTGGGTGTGTGTATGTGTGTGTGTGCATGCATGTGTGTGTGCTGAGACAGGTGGATCTCTAGAGCTTATTGGCCATGTAGCCGATATAAATTGATGCACCACAGTAAAAAAATCCTCTCTCGAAAAGTAAAGTGGAAAATAATCAAGAAAGAACTGTGATGTCAACCTCTGCCCTATATATACACTTGCATACACACATATAAATACTCACATGAACTTATATGTACAATACACACACATACCCATACACAAACACTCACACAATTTAATATATAGAAAAACATTACAGAGTCTTAACAAATGAATAGCCTGATCAGATTTTTTTTTCTGTGAAAGTGCCTTGGCACTAGTGTGGATAATTGGATATAGAGCAGGCCTCATCAGGAAGGTAATCAGATTGTTTTGATTTTCCTAGTGTAAGAGAAGAATGGTCATAACAAACTTAAATACATATACTTGATAGATAATTGCAAGTGACTGAAGGGAGAAGAAATTACTCTGAATGATTCTGATTCTCATGTTTGCTTATCTCCATGTACTCTCGCATACCCTAATACACAAATGCTCTTAAAGTAAAACTTGGCACTTTTATTTTATTTTTTTATTTTAAAAGACACATCTCCATAGAAGTGCAAGCTTGTAAAGATCAATTCTTGCCACCATAATGGAGGTCACCATGCTGAAAGAGGATCAACAGACATCATTCAGCTGGTTTTGTTTTAGATCTGCTCTCCATTGTCATCCTGGAGGTTTATTTCCAGTTGCACTGTCTCAGGGATTTCTACAGCCCAAGAGCAGACATGGAAAGCATAGTCCCTTTCTGGATAAGGTCATTCATTAGTGAACGGTCTACAAGGCTTGGAGATAAGATGGGTACTTGGAGATAGCGTAGCATGGGGAATTTGAAGCCCTGTGTCAGTTTCCATGGTTGTTGCAATGATTGTGATAAAGAAGATACAAGTCATACATAACTTGGAATACTTTAAATAAACACATTATGTCTTTTGTTTATGTGCACCTCAGTAGTATATGAGAGAGAGAGAGAGAGAGAGAGAGAGAGAGAGAGAGAGAGAGAGAGAGAGAGAGAGAGAGAGAGAGAGAGCTGTGTTACAGAAGGAGACAGCTGTTTAATCATTCTCTCTGGTGAAAACACAACAGGAGGTTTTTCTCAGGCTGACAGTGAGTGCTAAGAAGGAATTTCCTTTTGCCTGGGGGATGTGCCATGACTGCTTTAACTTTCTTTTTTTTTAATTTAAAATTACTTTATTTTTAGTGTTTAATTGTCAAATAATGGTTATGCTTGACATGTTTCTAACCAAATGACAGAGGCCTGAGCCTCCATGTGTGAATGGCTGTGTGTGAAAGTTTTACTTCTGAGCAATGCAGAACAGATGTGTGAACACAGAGTGAGTTGGGCCCACGATCGCCTAAGGACTTTGGCTATAGAATCGTAATGACAGCAAATGCAATAGGTTCCCTATTGGGAATCTAGGAGCTCCCAGAATTCCTAAGGGCTCTGCATTACTCAGTCTACAACCCAAAAATATGAACGACTCCTTTGTTATCTCCATTCTCTATAACCATTGTAGAATTACAAGCACAGGCTTGATTCAAACAAAACTATTTAATGGCTCGCTACTTTTTATTGTTGGTAAGGTACGGTTGTATTTCCTTGCCCTTTTTTTTAAAAAAAAAACCGTGACTGGCTGGTGAAACCAGAGTGTTTCATACAACACCAGATTTGGTTGAACACTTCCCCTGGCTTCTGATAACTTGCTTATCTACTTCTAATGTATCCTTACAATATAGAAATTATCACAAAGTCGAGTGCCTTTGTTAGAGGGCTCTTTATTTTTTCCGTGTGTGTGTGTGTGTGTGTGTGTGTGTGTGTGTGTGTGTGTGTGTGTAACTATATGTGCACATTTGGACAGGTACACGAGTGCATGTGTTTTATAGATATGCAGGTTCTTATACATTTATATGTGTTTATATATTGAGGTTCTTATTTGCTTTGATGCTCAGATTGTCTTTTATGTCAGTGTGAGCTACTTAATGTTACTCTCCTGTATTTCTAACATAATTCATCAGCTTTTGATTCCTTTTGAAATTAATAATAATATGGCCGAGGTTCCTCTGAATAGTTCTTGTATCAGACTTGGGCCTGGGGACTTTTCCTAAGAGTGCTAATTCTCTTTAATAAAGTATAATATTAAGAGAACAAGATGTGAGGAGTAAGTGTATTTAGTGCTGCTTGTCGCTTGCCACTGCTTTAAGGACTTCTAGTGGAAAATGTATCTTGAAAAATCATGGAGTCTGTGTTCATAATGATTTCTAATTCAAACTTGGGGGTAGGTGGGTGTGGGAACAGGAGGAATTAGGTGGGAGTGGAGGGGTTATGGAGGGAGTGAGTACTGGGAAAGACAAATGGAATTGTGGGGCACTAGTGCAGTGGAAATTCCCTGCAGTCTTCAAAAGTGATCATGGGAAAGACTCCTACTGATGTGGAATACAGAGCCTGAACCAGCCATCTTCTATCACCAGGCAAGTCTTTCCGCAATGGGACACGAACACCAGCCCAGTCATAAAACCATCAACCTATAATCTCTCCTGCCTCCAAGATGTGCTAGGGTAAAGACACCTCAGAGCTTGTGGGAGTGGCCAACCAATGACTGGTCCAACTTGAGGCCTAAGCCACAAGAGTGAGCCTACTTCTCACATTGCCTGGATGACCAAGTATCAGGCTGAATAGGTCAATGAAACGATTCTAATGGTTCCCAATGATATTCTGCTATACTCATAGGATTGGTACCTAGCCCAATTATCATCAGATACATGTCATCCAGCAACTTATGGGAGCAGATGCAGAGACCCACAGCCCAATGCTAGGTGAAGCTCAGGGAACCCCATAGAAGAGGGGAATGGGATTTCAGGAGCCATCAGGGTCAAGGACACCAGGAGAACACGACCCACAGAATCAACCAAACAGGGTTCACAGGGGATTGCAGAGACTGAAGCAACCATTGTAGACCATGTATGGGTCTGAGTTAGGTCCTTGCATATATGTTATGGTTGTGTAGCTGGGTATTCTTGTGGGACCCCTAAAAGTGGGAGTGGGGGTATCTCTGACTCCTTTGCCTACTCTTGGGTCCCTTTTCCTTACTCTGGGTTGCCTTATCCAGCCTTGATATGAGGGTTTGTGCCAAGTCTTATTGTAACTTGTTATGCCATGTTTGGTTGACATCCCTGGGAGGCCTGCTCCTTTTTTGAAAAGAAATGCAGGAGGAGTGGATCTGGGGAAGAGGGGAGGAGGCTGGGAAGAGTGGAGGGAGAGGAAACTGTGGTTGGGATGTAATATATGAAAGAATAAAAGAAAAAAGTTTCCCCTTTTGTATTCTGTATTCTTCTACATATTTTTCTCTTTAAAAATCTCAACTCCAGGGGGCTGGAGAGATGGCTCAGAGGTTAAGGGCACTGGCTGCTCCTCCAAAGGTCCTGAGTTCAATTCCCAGCAACCACATGGTGGTTCACAACCATCTGCAATGAGATCTGGTGCCCTCTTCTGGCCTGCAGGGATGTGTGCAGGCAGAACACTGTATACAGAATAAATAAATAAATCTTTAAAAAAAAAAATCTCAACTCCAAAGAAGTCTCTAATTTTATTGAATACATAGTACCATAAAGCATCCCATACATTTAGGTTCCAAATAGCAATAGTGGTTTAGCAATAACTAATCACAATCAGAGAACTTTTCAATACTTTCTCTGATTTCTTTAGAATGTTTAGATCCTTAAGTTGTATATTGCCAAAGATTTATGGTCACATACTGGTTCTAAAAGCCACCAAAACTAAAACTATATCTTTTTTTTGTACTTATTTCACTGTTCAATAGTTGCTTGGATTCTCCACTATATTTTTTTTTCAGTGTTCAAAAAGTGCCTAATTTCTTTCCTTTAGCTTGTTTAAATTTCCATAAAATAGAACATGTTCCAAAGTAAAAACTACAGAAGAGGGATCACTTACCTAAAACTTGTCTCATATCCATTAACTCTCTGTTGCCTCCATCCTTTATAATCATTTATGTACATCAATATCTCCCATGATGTCTGAGAATGTGCATGTTTTTTTTTTTATTGTCTAGTCCCTGTTTCCTCGATGTGTCCTTGGGTCTGATTATGTACACACACAGACACTCTGCTCATGTCCCACATGTCACTTCGCCAGCCAGTCTCATTCACACCTCTAGTTTGTTTCCAGATTTCTGCATTGATCAATGTTCTCTAGCACACCCTTGTTTTAAAAATAACTGTGATAGGTTTTCAGAGAAATACCTTCTCAGGCAAAGAGTGAATGTACTTGTAATTTTGCTAAAGAGTTACTTTTAAATGTTAAATTTACTAAAAAAGCATAATACAGTTTTTCTTAATTTTCCTTACTAGGAAAGAAAAACACTACCTTCTTGTAATAACCACTTTTAAAAATAATGTATTTCTGAAATTCAAGTTACCAAATCATACATGCATTTGATGCAGGATGCATCTTACATGTACAAAAGATCTAGTAATGTCATTGTTCTCCAAAACATTTTGTCTGAGGAAATAATGCAACACATATTGTCAAAGAAGATTGCTAGCTTGTCAGATATGGAAAAACACAGAGACACAGAATTACATATGTAATGATTTTTTCTAGGAAAATGTTTTTGTTTTCATAAATTCACCCACATTTAAAATTTATCCAATAATAATTGTAACTTTGAAATAACTGCCCCTCCTAATCATATTGCAGTCTGACAAGACAGGAATGGAAGTACACTTGGCAAGGTATAAGTAATACCATTGGGATGATTGTTTAACGTGTTCATAAATCAGCAAGTCGTCTCCAGGACCCTAAATTACAATCTGAAATGGTTTCACCATTCCTATTGATGCTCATATATGTTAAAATTGCACAATTAAATTGTCATATGATATTTTAGTAACCACTGTCTTCTGAAAGTAGGACTAACCACCCCAAGAATTTGGGTGAGTCATGTTCACATTCATATCTGATAACTGAAGGATTCAGTCACTTAAACATTTGAACAGTAAATTTAAAACCATAGTTTCACATTTGGAAAGCATCCTGTTATGAATAAAAAATACACAGGTAAAAAAGTAACATATCAGTAAAATCAGATGAGTAAAATTACTAATGATTTGTTTCCTCAGGTATAAGGAAATGCTTAAAAACGTGGCTTCCAACGTCTGGGCTTTCTTCTGATTCTGAAACCACGTCCTGTCTTCCTTTTCTTTGACGTCTTTGGTGCTAAAGACAACAAAATAGCAATTAACTGTCATATGGCTTTAGTCCGATGCTCACTTTAAATCAAGAATATTCATGATCTCACCACACTTCGTCTATTCTGATTATAAAGTCGGTTCAGCTCATCAGGATTTCAGTTGTTAATGGTCTGTTTGAAACTGGGAGACCCTGACTACTGACTGCCACAGCTAGCCAGTATGTGCCTCTGACAAACCCAATCAGCACACAAGCACTGTTTTTGCAGGGTTAGTCTAAAAGTGGCCATTTGGCACTAGCAAAATGGATACAGAAAATACAATTTTCCTTTTGAATTATTCATTATCTTTGCATGATGACTGAATAGGAAAAGTTTTGCTACCTTTAATGCAAGCACGGTCACAATCATCCAGGTAATAAAAGTTATTTTCATTCCCACCACAGCCAGTGTAGGTAAAGGTCTCACAGGCTTTGTTTCTTGAATTAAAATAATAGCGTGTCACGTTGGCAGAGCACAGGCCTTCATCTTTTGGACTGGAGCAAAATGATGGAACTTTACGGAAAAGAAAAACAAGTGAGAAATGCTGTAATACCAAACTAAGAGACGGTGATGGTCAGGGGAGTACCTGAAGAAATGCCACACAGGCCTCATTCTGAATCCAAAATGCTCAACCAAAAAAGGTGTGTCTCAGGTTACAGGGGAGTTACTTGCTTCATTTTGATCATTCTGTTTTTTTTTTTTTTTTAATTAAGCTAAACATTTGACATTCACATGCATGCATTATGTTTGCATCACATCCCCCAGGCAATGCCTCCCATGTCCATCCTTCTCAATTTTATAAGCTAAAATAGTTCCTTCTGCAGCTGTGTCTTTTACCTTTTATATGTAAAAAGAAATTAAGCCTCCAACTTGACATGCTAAAAATGGGCTACATTTCAAAGGACAGTATATGGCATACTTTGACAAACTTTCTTGGGCTGGTACCAAGCAATGGAACATTTACATACATTCACTAGTTAATGATGTATTTTCAACACAGTACACCAACAGAAGTCTATGAAAGTCTGCCAAAGGAGACTTCAGGATTTAACTGTTTAAGATCTCTGTGTCTCTGCTACACTTGGTAGAAAATGGCTGAAGAAATGGGGAAAGGGAAGAAGGGAAGAACTCTGATATAATTTGTAATTACCAAAGCGTACAGATGTTTCACCAAGTCTCAACCCTCTGTAGTTCACTGTCTCAAACATAAAACTACTTCCATGCATTTCTGATGTCTCGGCATTTATTAGTGCATGCTATTTTTTTAATCAATTTCTTTAGTCAGTATAAAAATGGGTTCCATCATGGCATTTTCATGTATCACTGTGCTTGCATCCCCCATTATATTCCCCACCTGCCATCACTAATACTCCATTCACTTCTCTCAAAGGGGCCCAGCTCCCTCTTTCATACACAGACATATACATGAAAATACGAGAAAAAAAGCACTATGTCCAGCTCTGTCTCTCCCCTCCTACCCTTTAGAGCTCTTCCTCTAATTTTTATGAATAAATTGAAGAGACAGATAATATAATATGACTATCCCTTATCTGAAAACTACACGGGACCAGAAGTGTTTCATATTTCAGAGTTTTCAAATTTTGGAACATCTGCATGTGCATAATGAGATACCTTGCAGATTGGGTGTTGGGATGCAGTTCTAAATAAGAAGTTGATTGTGTTTCACACCCACCTCCCATGAAGGGTTTGAAGATGATTTAATGTAATATTAGTGGGCCTATTTTTTGACTGTCACTCATCAGTTGAGGTCAAGTATGGAAATTTCCGTTTGTGAAGAAAGGTCAATGCTCAAAAGTTTCTGATTTTCAAGTTTTTCACATTTCAGATTTTCTAATTAGAGATGTTCAATTGTTGTTCTCCAAGAGAAAAAGTAGCAACATTTTGTTAATGGCTTTGTCATGGTCCAGCCTTGAGAATTTTGCACATCGTTATTAACCTTCAGCTTATACCCACACATGGAAAAATAAGGACATAATGCTTCCTACAGGACAGTAGTTTTGACCATTAACACAGTCTAGGTTTTATTCCTGAGAAACACACACAGGCACACACAGATGCACACACAAAATCATATAATTGTGCAATCCCCAGCATGTAAACCATGTTAATTTCAGGTCAAATTATTGATTTTCCCTTAAAATCTTAATATAAAACTTAAAATAGAAACATCACAAAGTACTCACGTTTCCTTGGTTCACAGAAGTCCTTGCAAGTATCTTCATCAGGGAATACGTTCATAGTCGTGCTACACAGACCAGGCTTAAGGGTTTCACATGTCATGGTCTTCAGATTGAAGAAATACTGCACATTGGGCTTATCACATGGATAGGTGTTGAGTTCTAATCGACAAACTGTAGGAACTTCTGGGGGAAGGGAGAGGTAATAAAACATGTTACTCAAAAAAAAGTCTTCTGTAATGGACTTTCTTTTCCCCCGTCAGTCCCAAATAATGACATGGAGACTTCTTATTAATTATGAAAGCTTGGCCTTTAGCTTAGGCTTGTCTCAACTAGCTCTTATAACTTAAATTAACCCATTTATATTAACCTATATTCTGTCACAGGGTGTTAACCTCTCTTTCACTTTGCACCTCCTGTTTCCTCTCTGTCTGACTGATGACTTCTTCCCAGAGTTCTTTCTGTCCCTGGAAGTCCTGCCTATACCTCCTGCCTAACTATTGGCCGTTCAGCTTTTTATTACACCCACTCTATCACACTCAAGTGTGTATATAAAGAGTCCTGGGTGTACACACCATAGAATTATCTGCATATGAATGTTTGTTCCTGTACTCTTCAAAATAATAAGAAACAGAGACACCCCAGATGTCCAACAATGGATGAATCTTTAAATAAATGTGGTTGAATGTACAATGGAATGTTTTTCAGATGAAAATAATGATGAAGCCATGATGTTTCCAGGGAAATGGGTGAAACTGGAGTTCATCATGAAAAACAAAACAAGCCACTCTCAGAAAGACAAACGCCACATATTTTCTCTCATATGCAGAATCTAGGTTGAAGTTTATGTATGATGAAAGTAGAGAGGTGAGCACATGAGGCAGGGAGGAAGGCCAGAGTGGGGAGAGGGGCAAACAGAGTGTAGAGAGGTCACATGGTGTGAGAGCTGAAGGTGTGACTATTTTGGGAGAAAAAGGACCAGTAAAAAAGGGCAGAGAATGAGAAAGAGTGTCAAAGGGTGCTGGGGGACAGAGATAAAGTACAATGACATGTATGTATGAGTGAGCCTAAGAAAGCACACTGTTTTGTATGCTAACCTAAGAAATTAATAAGATGGTAATAAAAATCTAAGCCCTCTAAATAGTACTTTAAAAACTTTACCATAATTTCTGAAACTATGGGGGGATGATAACTTTATTTCATACTGGAATAGTAAATTCCAAAAGTCTGCCCATTCATCAGAAGGTAAGCTGCTGTTAGTGTGGGAGGTCTGACTCAGCTGTGACGTGGCTTTCAAGTTCAGTAGAAAGACTGTTCTCCGTTCGGTTTCTGCATAAAAGTTTATTCACATCAATACACATTTCTTCCTGGCTAAGTTCACTGATGGCCAAAGCCCTGTATCCTCCTTAGTAGATATAATTATAAAATGGCAAAGTGAAAGAGAATGGACTCTTGTAAAGTTTAGCTATCCCACTACACTAACCCAAGCATCTGGTAACAAAAGTAAAGTTACAGAATGAGTGAAACCACACTTCCAAAGTAAGAACCAAGAAAAGTATTCCATATCAATGGGTAATTGCCCGGAGGAAACGGCAGGCTCAGAGCCATATTTCTGGAGCTAATGATGGCAACGGAAGAGTACTGACGTCCTCCCCTTGCGTTTATGACGGCCTAGGATGGGCTCATTCACTTTTCCCAAAGTTCACGCAGGCGCTGCGTTGCAATGGAATCTGGTACTGAGATGAACTCTGTTCGTGATTGTAGACTTGGGGTTACATTGGGGAAACTTAAATGTAGTCATGTAGGAGATGCGCACAAAGTCCCACCCATAACTAAGGAGTTGATGTTGGGTCAAAGTCAGTTTTCTGTAAAAGTGCAGCCCCAGGTGGGGTGATCATTCTCTAGTGAAGGTCACACATCCCAGAGTATATAGACAGCATAAACTCTACAGGGGTTGGGGGAGGGGCACAAATTTGGGTGGGAAAGGGCGTGGATCTGGAAGCAACGAGGTGAAAATGATCAAAACACGTTTTCTGAAAATCTGAAAGAACTAATAACAAACGAGGGCGGGATGGGGGGCAGAGACAGCGAAGTTTGTTCAGCACTTTGGAAACATTAGGCTAGAAGTTAATGCACTCAACTAGACCTGGAAAATCAGCTGAGCTCCGACCCACCCCTTGGTGCCAATGCTGGTTGAGTTCAGTGCACCCCGGAACACTTACTCTCGATATTCCCGCAAGTGTATTCACAGAGTTCCTGACTGTGGAAATTGTTGGCGTTGCCCAGGCAGCCTCCATACTTGAAATCGCGGCAAGTCTGTTCGTTCCTATCATAGTAGAACCTGAGGAAGAGGGCCCGACAAGGTCCCTGGTCCAAAGGCAAGAGGCAGATCTCTAAGTTATTCCCTGTAATCAGAAGGAAAGCACCCGGAGTGGTCAGATTTGGTGCCTGACAGGGACTGAAAAGTCTGGCTCTAAAGTTCACCAGCAGAAGTTTCTGCACTAACTACGCACGACTTCCCCTGGGCGGAGGCAGGAACCTGGGGACAGCCTAGCAAGAGCGGGTCCCTGGGCGGCCGGCGAACCGGGGTAAGAGGGATCCTGGGCCGATACCTTGAGCGGATGCTGAAGCCAGACCGCGAGCAGAGCCCACCAGGAGCAGCGGCAGAAGCCACAACCGCAGGGGCGTAGCGGGGTCCATAGTACCGGGTGGAGCTGCGGCTCCCTGGATGCGCGCAGGGAGGAGAGCGCCAGTTGCCGGCTCGCAGGGGAGCGGCTTTTAAGCAGGCGACCGTCCCTGGACCCCCAACGGGGCGGAGCACACAAAAAAAATGTAGCTGATTCACGCCCGCAGCAGTGGCGCATCCCGCCCCCGCCGCGCGCATAGTGTCCCAAGAGGAATTTCCTGGGAGTTGAGAAGTTGAACTTAATTCCCAAACTTTGGCCTGCAGCCGCGGGGGATGCCCGAAGAAATGCTTGTGTGTCAATAACGAGAAACTAGCTAGTCAGAGGCAAATGACCCACCCACACTGAGGATTGCTCAAAACACCAATTTGCACCTTCACTTCAAAGAAACGTCAATCCTAGAGCCCATTTACATGGGGGCTGAGGGAAAGGCAGACTCATTTTTCTTACCCTAGCCAGTACATCACTATGGACTCTGAGATTGGAAATCTCTGTGTGTATACATCCTTTCCAACCGGATTACACTCAGTAGAAGTTTGTACTCGGTTTTAAGGGTATTCTGTGAGAAGTAACCACCTCAAACAATACATTTTTTTTTTTTTGAGACAGTTCCATGGATCTTAGGCTGATTTTAAACTCACGATATAGTCAAGGATACCTTGAATTTTTTTTTTTTTTATCCTCCTGCGTCCATCTCCTCATTGCTGAAGAATTAAGAGTTTTCATCATTCCAAAAGGTTCTTTGCTTTGTGGACGCTCCTTTTGAGACACAAGCCTGTGCCAAGACAGGGCAGCTGGCTCATTTGATTTCTGGGCCCATTGATAAGATTTGCCCATTCTTAAATTTCATATGCAGGATGAGATTGTAGAGAAGTAGTCTTTACTTTTATATTTTGTTTGTTCCTTCTATTATTCATTTATTGCTTTTGAAACAGGATCTAATGTAGGCCAGACTGACTTCCAATTGGCTGTGTAGCAAAGGATGGATATCAACAAAGACCTGATGCCCCTACTCTACCGCCTCCCACATGCTAAGATTAGAAGTCTGTCTCACTGCACCTGCCTTGGTGTCTGTGTTTCTTCTCAACTACTTTTTTGTAATATATGTCTGCTTTGCTAGCAGTTTTTAAATCCAGCGTACAAACGCCACAAAGTTTCCAGCTTGTGCCAATGAAGAAGGTGCTTTGTGGGGAGATGTGATTTTCACTATTCTTTCATAGAGAAGTATTAGACTTTGCCACACCGTTTCCCAAGATGATGGTTACACTGTTTTACACACCGGCTGATGTAGCTTTGGCCAACCCCTTTCCACATATCCCTAATCAGTACAACTAATAAAGTCCACTATTCTTTTGATATATTAGACTATGACCAGTGTTTTGTTTAGACAATGACAAAAATCAACATTGAAAGCTTATACAAGAGTAACAGGAAAAATTGAGGCAAACTTTTAAAAGAGTGTCTTGATGAATGTACCTTCCCTGCTGCCCCGTTTTCTCTTGTTTTGTCTGACACTATCTAACGAATAACTATCCCTGATTTTCCCTGAGGATACTAGGAGTGGTCTGAAGAAGATCTCCTTTGAGCTGGAAAATTCTGTACACTACAGCGCAGTGGTTCACATTAGGTCAATACTCTGGGATAGTTTGCAGATTATAACTTGTCCTGTTTCACTTGCCTTGGTGTCAAAGGATAGAGAGTCACATTCCTAAGAAGACTAGCCCGGTCTGAAAGTGCTGTTGGTGGCGTCACTAGACAACAAGGATTAAGAACAATCGCCAGAGCTGGCAAAGTAAATGCTTAACCACCAGCTGGGTGGGATAGAAATTGAAAGAATGAGAGTGAGGATTGTTGTCTCACTTACTGATTGACGTGTTGTGTTACTTCAAGGTGGCCAGTTTCAAGCCACCACTGCCTCTTCACGGAATGAAGAGTTGAGCAGAGATGAATGTGACCTGTGACCCAACGCGAGCCAGCTCAATGCATGCATGCATGAATCACTGAGAAAGCCAACGGGTTTTCGAAGACAAACAACGTGCTCCCACATTCTTGGGAGACTAGAATTAATCCCTCCTAGTACATTCCATGTACTATCAGAAAAGGGGAGTTTTAGGGAATATTTCACCAGGGTCATGTTGGGAAGGAAAGTTAACGTTAAACTTACGTATTCTCTTTCTGAACACAATGAAATACATCTCTAGACGACAATAAACTTCAAAGACAGAATGTATGAGACGTCAGCACTGATGGCTGTCATTTCTTTCCCTTATTCTCTGCTAGTGGGTAGACTTTAGCCAGCTGTTGCTGGTATAAAAACTGAGCCTTCTGAACTGGGGCAGTTATTTTGTTTACTTTGGAAGCTGGATGCTGTGTTGGTGAAATACACTTGGAAATCAGAGATTTGGACTTTCTTTCTTGTTCTCAGGAACTCTCTCAGCCCCAGTTGCTTTTTCAACAAGAAAAGCACAATGCTGTGTCAAGATGTGTGCTGCAGGTTAGAGGGAAAGATCTAAGTACACAAAGGGACCGCTAGCTTCTTGCAGGATGGCACAGAGCCCATCCATATCATGGTTAGCCAAGTTCCCGTTGACAGCCTTGGTACACTACTTTAGCATGGTGTGTTAGCCTGGGTCAGGAAGGGAATGGCCTTGTGGGACTGAAAATTACGGTCTTCTTCCCATCAGCTCTCTCCATGGGCTGAGCTCAGAGGGCACCCTTTTGCGTAGAAGGAGTCCCACTGATTAGACATCATTTTGTGGTGATTCTAAGGGAGCTAGCTTCTCAGCCAAGAGTAGCATACTCAGTCAGTACCCTCAGAGCAATGGACTGGGCATGGAATTGAGACTTAAGAGGCCTCTTCTTTTTCTGTGGTGTTGTATCCTTAGGCACGGGGTAGAGACACTCTGGGTGTGTTAGTTTCTTTCCCCTTTTCTGTGCTAAATGGGGTGCATCCTGAAGGCAGCTGTGACCATTGGCTGAGGAATGAAAGTTGAACAAGAGGGATAGTTACAAGTTTGAGATAGTCAAGCCAGGTCACCAGGGAGGAATTTACTCCTTATAATTGAAGAGCACGTGAGTGTTTTATGTCCACGAGAAAAATATCTTCCAATTTAAAGGGAATTTAAATGTCTGAGGGTGACTCTGAGTTTACAGAACTAACACTTTGGGACATGTGGGAGGAGACAAGTGACATTCCACAGCCATGTGGAAAGCCACGTCATTGTCCTTAAGGCAGTATCTAGGTCATTGTCCTTAGAGGTATATCTAGGTCGAAAGGTTTCCACAAGACTAAGGAAAACTGTTCCTTTGTCCAAAGTCAACAGGAAGTGGAAGTCTGTGAGGGAACTGGCAGAATGTCCTCATGACTGACTCATTCTTCCTATAGCATGGTGGCTGTAGCTAAAGAGACACTCAGAATAATTTAGAATCCTGTAAAATATGTGTCACAGGGTTCTTACGATTTCAATACCATAAGAAGCTAGAAATCTGTTGATTTACAGAGTCATAAACTGAGACCTAGAATCCTAAAGTACCTGGTCATGTTTATACGCCATGGTTGCTTGTAGAGCTGAGATTAAAACCTAACAGGCTCCAGTCCCAGCTCTGTATTCTTTCCAACTTCTAGTTCTGAGCTTGGTGGAGATCACTAAATACTGAGATTAAATATAAAAGCTCTGGTGAGCCCTGATCCCTTCCAGGAATACCACAATACTTGCTCCTGATTCCTGTCACATCCACCTTGGCCATAACGAGTGAATCTGAAGGAAATCTGGATTTTATTGACATCTACAGTTTGCAATCCTTCTGCACATTTCCTGTCACCTAACAGCCCAACAGGCTTTATAGTTGCCTGAGAACTTACAAAAAGAACTGAGGCAACTGATCTGTCTTTGTTAGACAAAATGTCTAGGTCACTAGTGAATGATTGAAATCAGTTGAACTATGTGACTTGGGCTACATGCTATGACACCATTTTAAGGAGTTACAGTGATAATGATTTAAGAAGCAGGGAGATCTTTCTACCTGTCAGTGAAAACTGTCAAAGGAAGATTTGAAGCAAGTCCAGCAAGCAGTAAGAAGGAGTTTATACATCTGCTGAGGAAGACGGATAATCTCCTCTGAGGTATGGGAGTCAGGATGGCTTTGTTAAATACAGCCCTGTCAAATTTGTGTTTTCCTAACGAGTCAGGCCAGACAGAACAGTTTCTATAATGCACACTCTATGACATTGCAAGTACATTTGAGAATATAATGTACCATGGATCCACCCAAAATGATATACCTCCTCCATGACTAATGTTTATCATTCCTGCTTTCTCTCCAGAGCAAGAGATAATGGAGTGCATAATGTGTTTCCAATTGTAGTTATTCTTACAATCACTGAATGAAAATAATGTGGTTAAGTGTTTAAAATGTACCAAACTTTGTCCTCGTTGTTTGAGATAAGGAAGCAAAACCACTTTAGAGGTTCCATAGCATAATAGTGCACAGAGATGTAAACTATACAAGCCAGTTCAGTAAAGTATTCTCAATAAAATTTTAAGAATATTAATATATTCCAGATTTGCTCATCAGTGAGTTGATTTTGCTGGCTGTTTTGGGTGCTTTATTGCAGTATATATAATGAAATGTCTTGAGGATTGGACTAAAACATAAACCCCAAATTAATTTTTTCATGTATAATTTATACACATATCCAGAAGGTAATTTTATACAATATTTCAGTGTACTTGCATTTTAATCTGGTGTATGTGTGTGTGTGTGTGTGTGTGTGTGTGTGTGTGTGCATGCATCTCACACACACACACACACACACACACACACACACACACACACAGAGAGAGAGAGAGAGAGAGAGAGAGAGAGAGAGAGAGAGAGAGAGAGAGGAGAGACTTTATAATTTCACTTAGTTGAAATCACATAAAAGAGTTTTCAAGACTAAATTTAAGTCATGCCAACTTTTACTTTTTGGACAGAGGAAAAGGAACATATTAATTAAGAAAGAGCTTTCAAGTAAGTAAGGACAAATATGAAAATGTGACATCAAGAATAATAAGACAGACAATTCAGCAATGAGGAGGGAGAATTTAATATAATCA